TACATAATGTGAATGGTTATGCACACACCCTATACGCTCACACCCTACTGCCAACGTGTCAGGCATGCATGTGTTTATGTCAAGCTATAAACCCAACAAATAACATCAGTGATCTCTAGAGAATGGGATTACTAGGGGAGTCTACATTTTCTGTACTGTTTGAATGTTTACAGTGATAGTGCACTATGACCAAATAAAACAAAACTCAATTTAGAAAAAGTGCTGTGTGATTACACAGCCACTCCCACGCATTTCAGAGGAATCTGCCTCAGGGAAGCACTCGCCCAGCATTTCTAGAGGGCTGCATGCGGTAGGGACTGCATGCTTACATGAATAACTCCAAGTTATGAGTGCTATTCTAACCTCTCCAAGAATAAAATATTCGAGTGCTTGCCCAAATTCTAGCACATGACCCACAGATTAAAAAGCAGGTTTTAAAGTGACAAAGTTCAAACTTTTTTTCACTCACGTTAAATTTCTTGGAAATACTCACATGATCAAAAAAATACACCACTGCAAGCTTTTTGCTGCGCCTGGTATAGATACGCTGCACTTTAGCAATTTTACCAAAGTGGTTCTCCAGGATGGTTCTGTCATTGAGACAGTCAGGGATGTTCTTACACTGGATCGCTGTGATTTCAGCCGGAGACAAACCCCCAAGACTGTCTGTGCTCTCGCTTCTTTTACTTTGACGTCCAGGCGTTCCTCTTAGAGAATCTAGGGGACAGAGAGGCAGCACAGAAGTGTATCAGATGGGCCACTAGGTGGCTCCGCTGGATCCAGTCGGGATCTCAGGGTGGTGAGCTAGAGCCCCGCATCAGGCCCTGAATCAGGCTCTGAGCTCAGCGGGGAGCTGGAACCTCCTTGAGATTGTCTCCCTCCCCTTCTAACACCCCCCCCCACCCTGGTCTTGTGCCCTCTCAAAAATAAATAAATAAATAAATAAATAAATCCTTTTAGAAAATGTATCAGATGTGAAATTTCAACGTTTGTCTATTTATTTACTTATTTTTAAGTAATCTCCACATCCAACATGGGGCTCAAATCCATGACCCTGAGATCAAGAGCCGCACACGCTCTTCCCACCGAGCCAACCAGTCGCCTCTCAGATACATGTCAAGTGGGAGGCACCATGTATGTAAGACATGCTCTTGGTCTGTTAGGATTCCCAGTGTTTACAGAAAATTTACCAGAAACAACAAACTAAGACCCAGGGAAATTTACCAAGCACCTGCCAGGGTTTACTGGATGGTGCACGTATTTAAATCTCACCTTCTTTTTTATCTCTACTTTCAGTTTCTTCCTCTTTATTCACACCTGGGAGCCGGGAGGGTGCCAAGACAGACGGACTCCCTCCTGGGATGGTCACGTGGTCATTTTCCCCAGACTCGACACAGCCAATGTCCTTTTTAGATTCTTTGCTGCCCAGACGACCTGCTTCTTTATTGCTTTTGAAGACATCCTGTATGGTTCGACCAAACAAGGTGCCTCCCCGGGGCCGATTGAGGCGGACGGGCCGTTTGTCTGGAGGGTGGTCGCCCCTCGACAGGGCGTCCAAGTCTTCTGCCGCATCGTGGCCATGTCTCCTTGGGGAGCGATCCTGCTCCTCCTTCCTTTTCAGGCCCTTCATGAGGCTGGAATGAGGGTCCGTTTGGGAAACCCGTTCTTCACATCCCTGTCTTACGCCCGTTTTGCTAGCTGGGAACGCTTCAGCCAGAGGCCCTGGGGAGATGGGGAAGCTACTGAAGCTACTGTTAGAAGCGCCGCCAAACAGGGCCTTAGGGCCCCTCTTCTCTTCCTCCACATTTTGGCTCGACAAAGCGGAGGTAAAGGCAGACGATGAATTATTACTGTTGACTGGTTTTGAAAAAGTAAAGTTTGAATTGGCAGCTGAACTGCTTGTCACCTGAGGAAAAGAAAACGGAGCCAGCCCCCCAGGCCCACTACTAATTGGGTGAGAAAACGTGAAAAACCCAGAAGTAATTGGGTTCTGAGTTTTCTCTGGCTCAGATTCAGCCCCAAATATCGGTCTGAACACAGAATTCTCCAGAGGTTTAAAGCTAAACTCTGTTTTCCCAAACCCAGAGCTTGCTGTTTCTCCAGTCTCCGGTCCAAACGCAGAAGTACTCGGGAAAGCCCCAAAACTGGGGGACTTGAAACTGAATCCTGGGTTTGCAGGCGCACTTGCACTTGCAGACGCCGCCGCAGCCACAAAAGCCGGAGCGTGTTCAAGGCCAGGGAAGAGTCCGACGGTCGAGGTCTGGGAGAATCCTAAGGGCTGCGCCGAAGCCGAATGGCTTCCTCCAGAGGCCGCCGGGAAGCTGGACACCTGGGAAAACCCCGCGGTCTTCCCCGGCAACGCACTGTTTTGTCCAAACGGAGAAGGCTGACCGAACCGAAAGGGCGGCTTGGCCTGAAACGTTCCCACGGAGGTGCTGCTGGACGCCGGGAAGGCCCCGGCTGCGGCTGCGGCTGCGGCTGCGGCTGCGGCTGCGGCGCGCTGAAGGGATTCGTCGGGTTCATCTTGGCCCGCTCGCCGTTCCCTGGCGCCTTCCCCGGGGGGGGGGGGAGGGGGGGGGCCGCCGCACGTCACCGCCGCTCCACGTCACCCGCCGCCGCACGTCCACCCCGCCGCTCCACGTCCACCCGCCGCTCCACGTCACCGCGTCGCCCACCAGGACCTGCGAGCGAGCTCCGGAAACTGAAGTCGGACAAACCGAAGGGGCAGGGGTCAGTTTCTGAGCAACATGGGGGGCGGGGGTGGAAAGAACAAATGGCTTCGCTACCGGCCTTCAAGGCGCCCCCGCAGACGAGGAAACCTTTGCGATCGCTCCGCGGGGCTGGTCCGGGCTCCCCGCGAGGCCAGGGGCGCAGCTGCCCTCAGACGGCCGCCCGCAGCCAGAGCCCCGCCGGGGCTTGGACGGGGACGGGGACGGGACGGGACGGGACGGGGACGGGACGGGACGGGACGGGACGGGACGGGACGGGGACGGGACGGGGACGGGCGCTCCTACTCGCCGGCCTCACTCCTCCCAGCTCTCTCCGCGGGGCGCTCTCCCCGCCCCTCCCAGGCCGCCCCGGTCAGCCCCGGAGCGAGCACAAACACTCACACACTCGCGGGGCGCCCCCCCCGGAGCTCACACTCACACTCGCGGGGCGCCCCCCCCCGGAGCTCACACTCACACTCGCGGGGCGCCCCCCCCGGAGCTCACACTCACACTCGCGGGGCGCCCCCCCCCGGAGCTCACACTCACACTCGCGGGGCGCCCCCCCCGGAGCTCACACTCACACTCGCGGGGCGCCCCCCCCCGGAGCTCACACTCACACTCGCGGGGCGCCCCCCCCGGAGCTCACACTCACACTCGCGGGGCGCCCCCCCCCGGAGCTCACACTCACACTCGCGGGGCGCCCCCCCCGGAGCTCACACTCACACTCGCGGGGCGCCCCCCCCGGAGCTCACACTCACACTCGCGGGGCGCCCCCCCCCGGAGCTCACACTCACACTCGCGGGGCGCCCCCCCCCGGAGCTCACACTCACACTCGCGGGGCGCCCCCCCCCGGAGCTCACACTCACACTCGCGGGGCGCCCCCCCCGGAGCTCACACTCACACTCGCGGGGCGCCCCCCCCCGGAGCTCACACTCACACTCGCGGGGCGCCCCCCCCGGAGCTCACACTCACACTCGCGGGGCGCCCCCCCCCGGAGCTCACACTCACACTCGCGGGGCGCCCCCCCCCGGAGCTCACACTCACACTCGCGGGGCGCCCCCCCCCCGGAGCTCACACTCACACTCGCGGGGCGCCCCCCCCGGAGCTCACACTCACACTCGCGGGGCGCCCCCCCCGGAGCTCACACTCACACACTCACGCACCCCCGTACCTCCGAGGCCCCCCGACGAGGCCCGAGGCCCGCCGCGGCCCGCAGAGACGCCGCCGACCAGGGAAGGGCGGGGCCGACGCCGCGGACCACGGGGGCGGGCGGGCGGGGGGGAGCTGCCTCCGCCGGGGCTCACCGTGCGGCTCCGAAACCCCGAGACCCGCCGCCGCCGCCGCCCCGGGGCGCCCTCCGCGCCGGCGGGAGCCACAGACCGCACCCCGCGGCCTCCGGAGCCGGCCCTCCTCGGCGCGCCCGGGCACACAGACGCGGCGGACCAACTTCCGGTCCGCGCGCGCAGCTCCGCGCCCCCCGCGCCCCGCCGCACTCGGGTTCCGCTCGCTGCCGGACGGCGCCGGGGACTTCCGGTGCGCGGGGTCCGGGCGGGGCCGTCGCTTCGGGCCGGTACGTGAGCCGCCGGCTTCCGGGCTCCGGGGAGGCGCGGGGAGGGGTGCGGCTCGTTCCCCCGGGGCTGCCCGAGCCTCGGACGGCGGCCCGGACCCCGCGGGGCCCACGGCGCTCGGCCCGACCCCTCCCCGCTCCCCTCCCGCCCCCCTCACCCCTCCCGTCCTCCCCGCTCAGCCCTCCCCACTCACCCCGCGGCACCCCTCCCCGCTCCCCTCCCCTCCCATCCTCACCCCTCCCGTCCTCAGCCCTCAGCCCTCCCCCCTCCCGTCCTCCCCTCCCGCCCCCCTCCCCGCTCCCCTCCCGCCCCCCTCACCTCTCTCTTCCTCACCCCTAACCCCCCTCCTCCCCCTCCCCCCGCGGCACCCCTCCCCGCTCCCCTCCCGCCCCCCTCACCCCTCCCGTCCTCCCCGCTCAGCCCTCCCCACTCATCCCGCGGCACCCCTCCCCGCTCCCCTCCCCTCCCATCCTCACCCCTCCGGTCCTCACCCCTCAGCCCTCCCCCCACACCCAGCGGCACCCCTCCCCGCTCCCCTCCCGCCCCCCTCACCTCTCTCTTCCTCACCCCTAACCCCCCTCCTCCCCCTCCCCCCGCGGCACCCCTCCCCGCTCCCCTCCCCTCCTCACCCCTCCCGTCCTCACCCCTCAGCCCTCCCCCCTCACCCCGCGGCACCCCTCCCCGCTCCCCTCCTGCACCCTCACCCCTCCCTGCTCTCCTCCCGCCCCCCTTCAGCGCCCCTCCCCCACCTCACCTCACAGCCTCCCCTTCTTCCTTCACATCCTTGCTCCGCAGGTCCTCACTGCAGGCTCCTACCTGACTCGATCCCGTCCTCGCTGCAGGCTCCTACCTGACTCGATCCCGTCCTCACCACAGGTCCTCACTGCAGGCTCCTACATGACTCGATCCCGTCCTCACTGCAGGCTCCTACCTGACTCTATCCCGTCCTCACCGCAGGCTCCTACCTGACTCAATCCCGTCCTCACTGCAGGCTCCTACCCTGACTTGATTCCATTCTCCTTGCAGGCTCCTACCCTGATCCGGTCCGTCCTCACTGCAGGCTTCCGTCTTCCCTGCAGGCTCCCACCCTGATCCAGTCCATCCTTACTGCAGGCTCCTACCTGACTTGATCCCATCCTCCCTGCAGGCTCCTACCTGACTCGATCCCATCCTCCCTGCAGGCTCCTACCTGACTCTCCGTGACTTGACGACTGTCCCCCACGCCCTCATCCTCGTGTCTCCACGGCGGTACATGCCACCCCCCTGGGGACCCCCCACAACATCCCACTGACCGCCGGCCCCGAGCACCCCGCGGCTTGGCCATGAGCCTGGTGCTCCGCGTCCCGCAGCGGGCTGTCCCCGTCCGGAGGGCGCCGCTCCGCTCCCGGGTGGAGCTGCTGAGGGCCGTGCTGGGCGTGCGGGACTTCGACCTGGGCCTGCTGTGCGTGGACAACGAGGGCATGCAGCGCCTCAACAGGGCCTACCGCGGGGACGACCGCCCCACCGACGTGCTCTCCTTTCCGTTTCACGAGGTAAGCGTGTCCCGCTCAGGCCCCTGCCTCCGGCCATCAGCCTCTGCATTTTTCCTTAAGATTTTCTACTTATTTTAAGTCCTCGCTACACCCAGCGTGGGCTCGAACCCTCAACCCCAGCTCAAGAGCCCCGCCTGGCTCCCGGCGCCGGCGCCCCTGCTTCCTGAATCCCAAGTACGACTCGGTACCGGGTACCAAATATGTGCGGGTGAAGCTTTTACCTAACTCTGGATCTTTTCACTGAAAATGGAAGATAACACTGAAAAAGTGGTTTCAACAGACCTAAGAGCGATTAGGCCACGATGTGCACGCCGCCCGCAGCGGTCAGGGCCTCCCACGCGTGACAGCAGAGGCGAGACTCGGAAGGCCGGGCCGCAGCGTGTGGCGCCAGGCGGGAGGGGAGCTGCTGGAGCACAAGCAGCTGGGACGGTCGCTTGGCATTTCTTCCTTGCAGGAGACACGTTAACACCCTAAGCATCTGTCCACGCGCCGCGCTTCGTGTGAACAGGCCTCAGGGGAAGGCGCTGGTGGTTTCTCGGGTTTATGTGGGAAAACGTGGAAGACTGTTCGGGACTAAAACAGAAGGAACAGATAGAAGATTGTACCGATGTGGGGCAGCATGACTTGCTGGAGAAGGGCAGGGGACAGCAGCCCGGTGGGGTCGGTCGCCCGTAAACGGGCTCTGCTGTGGGTGCCCCCCCGCCCCCCGCACCCCTGGGCGGTGTGTCCCGGAATAGGACGTGCAGGCCCGTCATCACGTCAGCCCCAAGGACGTCGTCTTCCAATTGGGGTTTCCTCATTCGCAGAACGTGAAAGCAGGCGAGCTTCCCCGGCCTCGTTCCCGAGATGACTACAACTTGGGCGACATCGTCCTGGGAGTGGAGTACGTCTTCCAGCGGTGCCGAGGACACGCGGACTACTATGACGCCCTGACGGTGAGCGTGGCCGGCCGCCGCCCGGAAGCCCGGCTCCTGCAGGAGGGAGGCCCGCGGCGGGTGGCGGGGACCCTCTCTCTCCCCCAGGCCCGGGCCGCTCGCCCCCTGCAGGCCGGAAACGGGCCAGAGGGAGTCAGCAAGCCCTGTCCGCGACCTCAGAGCTGCGGAGTGGACGCCTTCCCTGAACCGTAGCCTCCGGGACCTTGGGACTGGCCTCTCCTCCCCTTGACCTGAAAGAAAAGGCGGGGGGGGGGGGGGGGTTCCGAAAGCCACCGTGTCTTACCTTCCCTGCGGGTTCTACGGCGGGCTTTCTTCTCGAGAGGGGCCAGAGCCCTGGTGGAGAAAGGGCTGCTCAGCGTAGGCTCTGCTCCAGGGTCGCTGTGGGTGGCCGCTGTGTGCCCCTGTGGGGCCACCGTGCATATCGACTCCGTCCTGCACCCCCACCCGCACCCACCTCCCCGGAGGCTGTTACCTGCTGCGGAGGGTGAGCCCACCACCCCTGGGACCCTCATCCCCCAGAACAGGGCCAGGCCCCTCTCCTCCTGGCCCCCAGCTGCACACAGACACCTGCTCACATCCCTGGGTACCCTCCACCTACCCTGGGGTCCTACTGCACGCCAGGCGTGGGCTGACTTCTCCCTGCCTTCCCCCGCCCCTCCCCCCCAGCTCAGGGCTTGGTCTGACCAGTCCCTGAAACAGCTGTTTCGTTGTTCCGACAGGTGACTGCCGCCCACGGGCTCTGTCACCTGCTGGGCTTCACACACAGCACAGAGGCCGAGTGGCGAAAGGTAGGCGCGGCCCTCCAGCAGCACGGGGCCCCAGGAGAAGACAGTGTTTGTCCAGAACGTTGGGCTCTGCAAGCGCTACTGTGTTACTCGTTAGCTGTAAAAAGTCTGAGCAGGGAGGCTGGTGTTTATCAGGTGGGACCAAGGTCAGAACATGCAGGCTCAGACGGGCTCTGGGCTCCGGCCACTGGGGGTCCTCGTGCCACAGCCTGGGACACGGGCTCTGGGAGGGGCCTCCCCCAGGGGCACCCGGGTCCGGCCGCTGGGGGGCCACAGTGGGTTTCCACTCCTCTTTCAGATGTACCAGAAGGAGAAGCAGGTCCTTGAGGAGCTGAGCCGGCTCACGGGGACCAGGCTCCAGCCCCTGAGCCGGGGCCTCTTCTGATGGTGCTGGAGGCCTGGCACCCAGGTGGCACCTGAGGGACTCTGCAGGTCACAGGAACAACACGTGGAAGACAGATGGACCCTCCCCTTTGAGCCTGAGGACCAGAGACTCCAGCAAACTGAGGCCCTGCTGGTCACTGCTGGCCCGTGGGGCTGCAGAAGTTACACACGCTCTGAGCCAAAATTGCATAAGTGGAACCTTTTTCTGAAAGTATAAGAGAAGCTTCCATTCGTTCCTCATTCTTCACAGGAACCGCATCCGTTACTGAAGGGGGTGCAGCCCCTGCTCGGGAGCCTGCGTCAGTCCCCTTCCCCAGGACACCGCTGAGGCCCGAGCTCTCATGCCCCAGATCCCCGCCCACCCGCTGAGCTGTGTCTCCCGGCTCCAGGAGGTGCCCTGAGCTCCTACTGCCACGTCCCACAGCCTCTTTCTGTCGGTATTTCCTGTCTTAGCCTCTGAAACTGAAATAAACACAGGGGACGTCACAGCCTATGCAAGCTGTGCTGGGCCCAGGGCATCACGGGAGCAGGCCGTGGAGGCACACCAGGCCAACTGGGCCCGCACGCCTGGGCCTCCCACGTACCGGTGTCGGCAGCAGCACCACGGGCCCTGCCTGGAGCTCTGGAGAGGGCACGGCAATGACACGCAGCCTCCTGGGGCACCTTTTGGCCCTAAAGCCAGGGATACTACAATTCTGAGAATTGGGCTTCTCCCGTGAAGCCACTTGAAAAGCATGAAAATGCATTTCCCGCCAGACTGGTTGTGTCTCAGCCTGGACTGTCCCTGGGCTCTCAGGGATGCAGATTTGGGCTTGTGGCGCTCCTGAAGCCTCGTGGGCCTGCACACCTGCCCGTTAGTGTCTCAGCCAAGACCGAAGGTGACCCCACAAAGCTCTTGCCTCTGCCGTTCTTTGTAAGAGGCCGAAGTGGGGATGCCTGGGTGGCTCAGTGGTTGAGCGTCTGCCTTCGGCCCAGGACGTGACCCCAGAATTCTGGGATCGAGGCCCACGTCAGGCTCCCTGCATGGAGCCTGCTTCTCCCTCTGCCTGGGTCTCTGCCTCTCTCTGTGTGTTTCTCATGAATAAAGAAAATTAAAAAAAAAAAAAAAGGGATCCCTGGGTGGCGCAGCGGTTTGGCACCTGCCTTTGGCCCAGGGCGCGATCCTGGAGACCCGGGATCGAATCCCACATCGGGCTCCCGGTGCATGGAGCCTGCTTCTCCCTCTGCCTGTGTCTCTGCCTCTCTCTCTCTCTCTCTGTGACTATCATAAATAAAATTAAAAAAAAAAAAAAGGCCGAAGGGGTCCCGAAACCTGCCACTCCTGCCAGCCGGAATGTCGGACATCCCGTGCTTCGTGGTCACATCAGGGGGTGTCCCGCTCTATCAGGCGATGCCCAGTGCTTCCACAGGACCCAGTCACTGTCCCCCCGCAGCCCACTCTGACCCTGGGGCCCAGGGCCCAGCCTCCACGCAGCCCGTCCCCCCCTTGGTCATGCATGTGCTAAAGCTGTCCTGCAGTCCTCGTCACCGGTGACCCTGTTCGTTGGCGTCCCGTCCACCGTAGCTGCTCACGTCTTGCGCTCATTTTCCTTTTCCGAGGATTTATTTGGTGGGGGAGGAGCAGGAGGGAGAGAGAGAGAGACTCCCAAGCAGATTCCCCACGGAGCAAGAGGCCCGACGACCAGGGACTCGATTTCCTGACCCCGAGGTCGTGGCCTGAGCCCGAATCAGGAGCTGGCCAGTGAGCCAGCTGAGCCACCCAAGGCTCCTTGTGGAGCACCTTGTGCTCATTTTTCTATTGTTTTTTTTTTTTTTCCATGGATTCGGAGGGGTTTACATCCTTGAAGGCCGCAGGGCGTGTGAGCCGCGCCCTGACCTGCGTGGCAGCAGCTCTCCCTGGCTGTGTGCTTCTCACGCCCGCCCCCCCAGGCCACCCACCTGGGCTCCGCGAGCAGCGGCGCCCCCTCCTGCTGGGGCCCCTGGGTTGCCCAGGCCCGTGCCAGGGCGCCCCGCAAGGCCCGATCCCACGGAGCCCGGAGACCTGGTGGGCGCTCGTCCTTGCGGCCGGGTGCCCCCCCCTACCCGAGGGCACCCAAGCGCTGTGCTCCGCCTCCCACCCCTGCCCCTTCTCACCCACTTGCACGCCCGCTTCACGCTGCCGGGGCTCTGAGCCACTCGGACCACCTAGTGGGACCCGGGGAGGGGGCGCGGAAGCCCTGCCCCTGGACCTGTGGGGGCAGCTGCCAGGGCCTGGCCTGACAGTGTCCAACTAGCTGGACCGCAGATGGCGGCTGTCGTCGGAGTTAGTGACTGGCAGCATTAGACGGTCCTGCGGGTGAAGACCCGGGCTTGCCTGCCTCCGGACGCGGACAGAATGGAGGCTTCCCGTGTGTTGGGCCACGAGGGACCGCCCGCCTCTGTCAGGGGGCTTCTTGGTGTTAATCAAAGTTACGTTGTGAACTTACAAAATAAACCGTGTTAGAAAATGTCAACGTGAAAATAAGCGGAGTCAGACCTTGCATTGCACTTCGCAGGAGACGCTGGTGCCAGGCGGCCCATGGGGACACCTACTGCCGTCCTGCGGGGGCTCCCAGGGCTCGTGGGCTGCACCTGCGTGGTGCCCGCTTAGCCACCGCTGCCGTCTGCTCCCGGGGGGCCGGAGCTGAGCGAGGGGCGCTCCAGCTGGCGTGGGACTCGGGGCGCGAGAGCTTACCCCAAGAGTGCTCGTGAAAACATGTGTAGCACTTAAAAATGACATTTTTTAAAAAAGATTTTATTGATTTATTCATGAGACACAGAGAGAGAGAGAGAGAGAGAGAGAGAGAGAGAGAGAGAGGTAGAGACACAGGCAGAGGGAGAAGTAGGCTCCATGCAGGGAGCCCGATGCGGGTCTTGATCTTGGGACCCTGGGTCACACCCTGGGCCGAAGGCGCTAAACCGCTGAGCCGCCCAGGGATCCCCTTAAAAATGACATTTATGTGAAAATTAAAACAGCAAGGGATGGGGCACCCGAGGCTCAGGGCGTGACCCCGGGGCCCTGGGATGGACCCCGCATCAGCCTCCCCGTGGAGAGCCTGCTTCTCCCTCTGCCCCCATAAATAAATAATTTTATTTTTATTTTTTTTTAATTTTTTTTATTTATTTATGACAGTCACACAGAGAGAGAGAAAGAGGCAGAGACACAGGCAGAGGGAGAAGCAGGCTCCATGCACCGGGAGCCCGACGTGGGATTCGATCCCGGGTCTCCAGGATCGCGCCTGGGCCAAAGGCAGGCGCCAAACCGCTGCACCACCCAGGGATCCCCAATAAATAATTTTTAAAAACAGAGGAAAAGTGAAGAGAGTGCAGGCGAGGTTCAGGTCAGGACCCCGCAGCCCCAGGGAGGCAAACATGCAGAGGTGCCTGGCCGTGGCCCCACGGGCTCCCCCGGGGGAGGCAGCAGCCGGGCACCCTCACGCTCCCGCTCCGCCGAGCCTGCTCCCCCGCAGGAAGGTTTGCTCCGTGGATCCTTTCTCTCGGGGCCCCTGGGCCACCTCTCCCGACGAGACCCCGGGCCCATCCGGCGACTTCGGGGCCTCGGCGACCACACCCGAGGGGCCTCAGGGACCCCGCTTACCAGAGTCCTTGCACCCAGGCCCACGGGCCGGCCGCCTGGGTGGGCAGCGCGCCGTCAGAGGCGGGCCTAGGGGAGCCGGGAGGCCCAGGTGCCGTCATCGCCCTGCCTGCCTGCAGACACCGCGACAGCCCCGCTCCTGCCCTGCTGGCCCGACGCCCAGGCCCCAGGCGGCCTCCCCAGGGGGTCAGGGCACGGGCCCACCCCGAGCCCTGACTCCCGGGCCCCCCCCCTCCCCTGGAAGGGGGAAGGGCCTTTCCAGACTCCCTGCCACGGCCTAGGCCCCGGGAGACGGGCCACCGCGCCAGCAGCAGGGGCGACAAGGTGCAGCCGGCCCAGGGGTCCCACCGCGCGGACCCGCGAGGCTGGCCTGGACTCACGGGCTGCGGGCCACCGCGGGGCGGGCCAGGGGGTGCAGTGCAGGCAGGAGGCTGGGCGTGGGCTGGAGGGTGGCCAGGAGCGCGGGCCAGGGCGGGCAAGCGGGCAGGGAGCCGGGGGCTGGGGGCGCGTAGTGGTGGTGGTGATGCACGGACGGCGCCCGGGGCCTCTGCAGGAGCGGGAGGCCAGTGAGGCCCGGCACACAGCAGCCCATCGGGCCCTGCTCCCTGGGCGCACCCTGCTGGCCTCACAGGAAACGGGGAGGGATGGGGGGATGGGGAAGGGAGCAGGGGAGAGGGGGTGAGGGAGGGGAGGGAGGGGGCGGAGGGGAAGGACAGAGGGAGGGAGGGACAGACGGAGGGCCTGGCCCAGCCTGGGCCTCTCGGTGGGAGGGGGGCGCCCGGGGCTTCTCGCGCAGACCCCGGGTCAGACACGGAAAGCCGCCCAGGCCTCTGGCTTCCATTTGCGTGGCCCCCTAGGCCGTGCTGCCCACGGAGCCTACCTGCAGGCCGGGGTGCAGGGGGGCGGCCTGGGATGCCCCGGGGGGCGAAAACACGGATGAGGGCAGGGCTCTGAGCATCAGGCTGTGCATGAGGATCTGGTGCAGCTGTGCGTTCTGCATCAGCATCATCTCCACCATGTCTGGAAGGAGAGGTGGGGGCTCCTCGTTCTCCTCCGGCCTCGCGCCCCCGACCGGGACTGGGGGTAGGGGGCTGCGCAGGGCCCTGGGCGCGTCCGAGGCGTGAAGCTTCGGGGCTGGAGGATGTGTGTGGAGGAGGGTGTCCCACTGGCCTCAGTCCTGCGCCCAGAGACACGTCCCCCCACGCTACACGGCCGGGAGGCGAGCACCCTCCAAAACCCCTTGACCTCTGACAGTCCCGCAGATGTAATTAGGGATCTTAGCGGATGTTGTCCTGGGTGATCCTGGGCCCTACCTCCACGAACGGGGGTTCCTACGAGAGCGGAGAGGGCCTGGAGAGGGACCCCGCAGCCCGAGCCAGGACCTGCCCCCCCTCCAGCTGCTGGGGGGCCTGCGTTGAGGGTTCCGGGCTCCAGACCCAGAGAAAGTGCTTCTCTGTTGTTTCAAGCCCCGAGGCCTGGGGCGCCTCCTTACCCTGAACCCATCAATTCACCTCGGGTGTCCCTGCTGTGAGACCTCCCCCAGCCTGTCCCACAGCAAGGAGGCCCCAAGGCTCTACGCAGGGCCCTGGAACCCCTCACCCTCCCAAATAAGGGGCCCCCACAGACGGGGCGGGAGCGGGGTGGGCAGCAGCCTCCCCACGGGCCAGCTCTGCCCCCAATGGCCTCCCTGCAGATCCGGGGGTGGCCAAGCCTCCGGGCCCCACACCGCTGTTTCCTCTGTGGAGACCTGTCCTATGGGTTCTGCCCCGAGGCCCTCAAGGAACAGATCTTGTCCCGGGCCTGGGAGCATGGGGTCGGTGGGGGGTGCACAGAGCAGCTCCCACGGCCACGGCCGAGGGAACGCGAATCCCTGCAAGGTCACGAGGTGGGGAGGCTGCATCCAGCAGCCGCTTCCTGGGCAAAGGCCCGGGGCAGCCCCCGTCCCGCAGCAGCAGCCCCCCGCCCAGGGGAGCTTCCCATTGAGCAGAAGCACCATGTGAGCAAGGCCCAGGCGGGACACGGTGTCCTGCCCGGACGTGAGGGCGCAGGGCAGCAGTCGGGGGAGCCTCTGGGCGGCGCGCTCGCCCCCTGCCCCGGTGGGGGGGATGGGGTCGGGACGTGCACCCACGGCCACGCCCGTCACACTGCGCACTTGGAGCTTGTGCTCTTTGCTCTGTCGTCTCAATAAGGCGGCCTTAAATCCCAGGATTTGAAACTCATGTAAGGGGCATCCGGGTGACGCTGTCCATTGGGGTTGGGCACCGCGCTCCGGGTTGCTGCCTGGGATCCTGGGATGGAGCCAAGTCAGTGCTCAGTGGGGACTCTGCTGGGGATTCTCTCTCTGCCTCTGCCCCTCCCCCAAAACAAAACAAAAACTTACCTAAAAGGAGAAACCATTTATGGTGTTTTTTAAAAAAAAATTTTTTTAAAGATTTTATTTATTCATGAGAGACACGGAGAGGCAGAGACACAGGCAGAGGGAGAAGCAGGCTCCATGGGGGAGCCCGACGTGGGACTGGATCCCGGGACCCCGACCACGACCTGAGCTGATGGCCCTGGCGTCACCACAGAGCCCCAGACGCCCCCAGGGGAGCGGGTGAGCCAACCTGTACAGCGGGCCACCCCCGGTTCTCCCGATTCCTAGTTCTCATTCCTCAGAGGCCCCAGAAGGGTTTCCTAAGGTCAACACGCCAACGTGCAGGCGACCAGGAGGCCACGTGCTGCCCCCAGGCGACCACCCTGTCACAGATGCACCTGGGAGAGGATTTAGTTGCATGGGGCGGGGGAGGCTACACACTCACCCTCCTTGATGCCCCCTGGTCCCCGGGGGGGCCCGGCCTGGGGCGGCGGCTGGACGGCGGCGGCCAGAGGCTGCAGGGCCTGCGAGGAGCCCACGGTCAGGAGCCCACGGTCAGGGCCCACGGTCAGGGCCCAGGACACGCCCGCCGCCCACCCCTGCAAGGCACTCTGCGTGATTCGCCCTCCACGTGGGACACCCTGCTGGATGGACCGGGCCGAGTCTGGATGCCCAGCACCCGGTGTGTCGTGTTCACCCCCGAACTCAGAGGCTGAAGCTCGAGCCGCTAACGGGGCTGGACCTGGGGACGGGCCGCGGGCTTGCGGAGGGCTCAGAGACCTCCCATCCCCGGGCTGCCACGAGGTCCCCTGCAGGGCCCGGGCGGCTCCTTGCTGTGACCCCCCACAGCCCCCACCGCTGCCGTTCAGAGGAGGGTCCCCGCATCCTCCCCGCGTGGGCTCTGCCGTCGGGCGGCCCCAGGGCTTACCCAGGGCTGGATGGGCCACGGCGGCTCCGGGGCCGGCGGGGGCAGGGGGGCGGCCGGGTAGACGCCCAGGGCGGGTGCGGTCGGGGGCGGCGAGCGGCTTGGGGCTGGGGCCTGGGAGGCCTCCAGGAGGCGCTGCTCCTGCAACACCGAAGTCGGGATGTGCCAGGGAGGGAGCCGGCGGCCGGGGCGCACCGCACCTGGCCCAGGGGGCGCTGGCGTCCTCCTGCCCCACGCGGCGCTCGCCTCGGGCATCGGAGCCGGGCTCGTGGCGTGGGGCACGCATGGGGACCACCCTCCTTCGTGGGGGGAGGGGACTTTAAACTTAAGTTTACCAAGTAACGGACCAGTGTGTGCTGGTTCCTTACGTGCAGCCCATGGGGCGCGCTGAGCCCCGGCCCCGGGGCACGAGGTCGTGGCCCGGCTGGTAGCCCCCGCCGCTCTGGTGGAGCCTCTGGCCCTCGCTGCTTCCCGCGGCCCCGGGCCCCCGCACAGTGTCCCCCCCCCCAGCTTTGCAGCCAGGCAGGGGCTTCGGCCACGCCGGCCTAAGGACCCGCCCCGGGCGCCCCTCCCTGCGGGCCTCGCATCTACCCGGAGCATCCGCAGAAGGTCTCGGCGCCTCCCCAGGGCGCCCAGCAGGGCCGCGTCGGGCTGGTCCTCGCCTCCTGCGGGGACAGCGCTCACTCAGGAAGGAGCAGGTTCGCCTGGGGCCCAGCACCGTCCTGCCCCAGGCGGGAGGCCCTTCCCCCAGAGCACCTGCGCCCCAGCCCCGGAGGCCCGCCCGGCACCCGCCGCCTCCAGAGGGGCTCCCAAGAGCCCTCCTTCCTCGGGGCACAGCGCGGCCCGCCCCCCCTCCCCCCGCCCCTGTGCGGAGGATGGAGCGCAGGCCTGGGCAGCCCCAGGAGTCCTCCCTCGCAGGCCAGGTCGCCTGGTTTGGGATTCCCGGTCTGGACTCCCACGGCCCCGGGGCTCGCGCCGCAGCCCCTGCAGGCCCCCTGCACCTGGACACTGTCGCCAGGGAGGGCCGGCCTCCCCCTAGTTCCCGTGGCCTGACAGCCTGACCCTTGGCCAGGGTGGCAGGGGTACGGGGGACCTGCTCTGGGCCCAAGGATGCGCCCACCTGACAGGTCGCAGCCCCCCGGCCCCGAACAAGCTCGCAGCAACGTGGGCCTGGCCCAGGCGTGGCCACCTCATGGGACTTCCAGTTCCTATCTGCAAACTGGGAAGGGTGAACGGGTCCCCTCGCGGGGGTTGGGGTGAGGCTGTGATGCGCTGTGGGGCCGTGCGTGTGTGGGTGTGCGCGTGTACGTGCTTTAAAGATGAAAGTGGACGCCTTTCTACTCTGAGCGCGAGGGAAAAGCCAAGGACGGTCACGCCGGCCTCAGGAGGAGGGAGGGGTCCAGGAGTCTTACCTGGCGTGACGCGCGGGTCCTCAGGATCCCCTCCCACGTGCTCACGCTCTTGCTCTAGTTTCTGTGTCGAGAAGGGCAGAGGGCGCGAGTGGGTGGGCTGAGGGCTGGGAGCGGGGCACCTGCCCCGTAGGCTGCGGGGATGACCCCCCAGAGGGCCTGGGGTGGAGGTACCCAGCTGGCAGGTGGGAGGGTGCAAGGGTCGTCCGTGTCCCCGGGGACCCCACGAGCCACGCTCGGCACACACAAGTTCCACCCACAAGTGTCGGGGCCCACGGGCTGATGCCAACGGCCCCCCCATCCGCGGCTCTCCCAGGAGCTTGACGCCGGCCAGCGCGTCCCGCCGCCTGTGACCGACCCCCGGAGTCCGGCGAGCAGCAGGGGGAGTCCAGCCGGCCCGGGCCACCCAGGACGAGGCGCTGCACAGGGCGCCCATGGGGACAGGCCAGCCGTGGGCCCTCAGGGGACGACGGGACAGGAAGCCGCGTCAGGAGGGGCCCGGGGCCGGCCCACAAGGCTGCGGATCCTGCAGAGGCCAGGCCCGTCGCCTCTCACACGCGGAACCCGGCAGGCTCTGCAGACGACGGCGGTGCGCCCGAGTGCTCCGGCCCGTGGGGCACCTGCCTCTGGGCCGAGAAGTTGCCAGAAGAACCTAGTTGGTTCTGCATAAATGCAGAGGAAAAAAACCCAAACCCCCCCCCAAAAAAACAAAACAAAACAAAAAAAAAACCCCAAACCCAAGAAACCACAGTCCCTCATCACTGCAAAGTGCTGGGGTTCAGAAGCAGGAGCCCCGACGGGTGCAACAACTCGCTTCAGGGCCGTGCTTCCTTGACAAGCTTCTAAAAGCACGATCCCACCCCCCCCCCCGTCTTACTTTCTCCAAGAGTTTCAGGGTCAGTCGGGTCATCGCGTCTGCCACCGAGGAGTCCAGCATCTCGGACACCGCGGCCCCTCCCTCCCTGCTTCTCAGATCATCTGCGAGGAGCACCGGCCACAGAGAAGCCACCCGACCCAGGGGCCCCGGCAGGACTCTGCCGGGGACAGCGCGTGGGCGGCAGCTGCCTCCCGGGAGGACACCCAGCGTTGCCAGGCGGTTGCCAGGCGCTGGGGACACAGGAAGGCCCTGGCTGCCGGGTGTCCCCAAGAGGCCTCCTCCCCCACGGGGGTTGCCTGTCAACACTGCGAGTCTCCGGGTGCGGCCAGTGGGGCCGATGAGGGGCAGTGAGCAGCAGCTGGAGGGGACAGCGCGAGGTCGCGCGGAGGACCGTCCCACCTTCCCTCGCCCTGCC